TATCAATACAATTAATTAATTTATCTAAAATAAAACATACTTTTTTTAATATTTAGCCTTGAAGGTTCTATATATTTACAAATTTAAATGTACGTACATAAACATAAAAGTGTAATTAATATTTATTATTAATTATTTAGAATAAAAATTTCAGTATTAAAGATACCGTAATGACAAGGTTATAAACATAAAATGTTGGTATTACATTAAAAAATTAATATGGGACCCATCGAAGTGGTTCGTTGATGTTTACAAGCCGAACAATTGAAATCATACGTGGCATCTCATATATTTATCTTTATGGCATATGGCTGGGCCCCACACGTATGGGCCCGCCAAGTTCAGCCGAGGATAAGATAAGCCGCCTTAAAACCGTAATTAATTTGCACAAGAAACCCTATTGATCTCATTTTACTCGTTTTTATCCTTACCCATTCCGTTGGAGATATTTACATTCATACCACCAAACTTTTATGTATTTACAGGTCTAGTATTTGACCTAAATTTTTATATTATATAAAAAATAATTATTTTTTAAAATTTAAGAAGATATAAATAAATAAATAAATAAATGTAAAAAATTAAATTAGGGATATGTAAATACATATGAATTAAGTGACGTGCATGTAAATCTTCTTAATATTTTAATTAATTTTGTTTATATATTTTCCTCCCACCAGCTCCAATCTCCCGCGATCAATTTTCCGCATCTTATCGTTGTCGTCACGAGGCTCTCGAGAAACTGCGTGAACGCGCTCGTCGGCTTTCTTGGCGCCATTCAAACCCTACATATTGAGCTCCTGGCCTCTGGTTGTGTTGTTGGGAATCGGTTAATGGCGATTAACGATGCTGAGAGCTGTGAAAGCCGGGCTTTGCCGGAGAAACCCTTGCAGTATCAGCGGCAGAACAGCAAGTTCGGTGTTTACAAGGAGGTTCTCCGCCGGCTGATGGAATCTGGTTCCCCTGAGGTTTTGGCTCCTTCGTTCAAGGAGGAACTCTGGTCCCATTTCAATCGCCTACCAGCCCGGTAACTTTTCGACATTTTGTTTCGTTTGTTTATGAATCTCTCTTGCCTTCGTTCTGTGATTGATTTTGATTCATTTGGTACGTTTTTTTTTTGTACTTTTCACTGCTGATCATGCGATCAGTTTTCTTTTTCTGGTTCGTGATTATATTTTTGACCTCATTTTTTTCTGTTTCTTTTTGACCATGCACGGCTTGTATCGCAATCTGCTTGCTTTGTCGAGATCCTTTTTGGAGGAATGCTATATGGATATGCTTGTCAGCTTTAACGCCTTGAATTTCTAATCATTCTTAACCGGACAATTGCCCGATTTATTCATCACTGTTTTGGAGATAACCTTTGTTTGTTGAATCTTGAATTCATGTTGAGGGCGAATTTGTTGTACCGTTTATCTAAGTTTGTGGTTCTTTCCAGGACTAAGACATTGTGGTTATTTTGATAGTTACGCATTGGACGTGAATGTAGAGAGGGCGGAAGATGTCTTAACCCACAAGAGATTGCTACAGCAGGCGCAAGACCCCGTCCTTCAGCTTGCTTTTGATATTCGGCTTGTTCAGGTGTAAGAATTAGTTGTAATCAATCTGGTCAAAAACATCATTTTTTTTTGCACTTCTCTATCTACCGTCATCTCCTCATCCTGGGAGGTGAATTTGACGGGTTTTTTTATTCTTATTGCTGCACATTATCTTCTCAGTTTGGGAATTGTTTCAATTAGATTGAAAGTTAACCTTTCGACAAAGAACTTTATTTGCCGATATTCGACCTTTAAATACCGAAAAAAACATGAAATTAACTGTGCCACCCGAACCTTGCCTTCAGTTTTTCATGCTAATTAACCCTATGTGTTTGATGATTCTCAAGGAAGTTGTCGATTCTTATTTGAATTAGAACCATTTTAATTATTGGGTGCTTGATCAACTAGTTTGGAAGTGTATTTATCATGTCTTTGATCTGCATAAGAAGAGTTTTAAGTTTGTTATTAACCTAATCTAACGATCTGAGTTATTTCTGTAGATGCCTCGGGGAGAATCCTTTGGTACTAATTCACAGTCGGAAGAAGATACATAGTGAGATTTCTATCATTAAAAGTAGCACTGCCTGTTATTATTTCTTAAATTTTAACTTAGTTTAATGTTAAGTAACTGTATTTTATTGTTTTAGCTCGTCTCAAGAGATCAATACAAACTTCGAAG